CAATTATCACCTGACTTTGCTGTTCCCCTCAGCCCTATGAAGCAGAGGGGAGAAAGTAAAGCAGGGATTTCTCTACCATGTTCTCTTTTTGCTCAATAATCAACTACTTTGATACTTTTTGTGTGTACAATCAAATGCAACGCCATGACTGCCTTCGAGGAGACACTGTACGAAAGTACGCTCAATCGTTCCCATTTGAGAGATTCAGTTAGAGGAGATCAAATGATACCCAAAGGAGTTGGATGGTGTTGAGGTCAGGGCTCTGGGCACGCTTGACTTGTTTCCAATTATAATTTTTTAACTCAGACCGTGGACATTTTGTTCTCACCAAAACTCCAAGGTTTGTGGTCAGAAAAAAAGATGTGGTCAAGGGTGTCTGCATACATTTGGCAAATGTGATATACTAACAGACGAACCGACCAACATCCGCATATTTCTCAAACATTTTGCACAGTATTGTTTCAGAGGGAAACGACGTGCCAGAGATGCAGGGGATGAAAGAGTCTTAGCTCCCCATGATGAGACCAAAAGACGGAGACAGAGAGAGAGAGTGAGCGAAACCAGAGCAGCAGCGTGCGTCTAACCTCAGGGCAGAGCAGAGTGGGATATTCCCATGGCTACTTTTGTGATAAACACCGAAACCAAACCAGACAGCAGGCTGCTGAACACTCGGCATCAGACCCTCTTTAATCTGACAAAATGCAGCCCGGGTGAGAGCCTGATGGATGGATATGCACACACACACACACACACACACACACACACACACACACACACACACACACACACACACACACACACACACACACACACACCACACACACACACACACACACACACACACACACACACACACACACACACACACACACACACACACACACACACACACACACACACACACACTCAGAACAACAGGCAGGCACATGTACGCACACACAAGCATCTACGGACTACTCTGCGCAGTTACAGATCCAAAATGAGGATAAATATTTGATGAGGAACGCCTCGCGAGTTGAATTTGCAGACAAATCACGTTGCTCACTGTGTCCGCGAAAAAAAAACCTTAACAGTCTTTAACAGAGGATCTAGGTCATATACAGTGTAGCGTTTTCAGGTGGCTTACAGCCGAGGGAGGACCTGGGTTTGGCCTTTCCCACATGGCCTTTGGAAAGGCTCTAAAAACAGTGATAGAGAATTAAAACAATATCAGTCTTTTCCTTCAAATTGTTTTGTTATTGTTGAAACCGCCCCTAACATACTGTATCTTCAAGCCTACAGTCCTAATGGAAAATCGTAGATGGGACACTGTATACTCTTGTTTTGTGACAATTATTGGTTATTTATTTTAGCAGACAGCAAACATCACTTAAAGAGCTTACGAAATGCTATTAGCACAGTCTGTTAGTGGGCTTGGTATATGATAGAGGTTGCATTTGTATTGTGAAATGTGCCATATGATTTTTATTATTGATGTATTTGTAATAAATCACGATTATAACAGCATACAAAAGTTGTCAGTAGGCTTGTTTGAGACGAGCTGCGGCTCGCCTCGAAAGTAGACGAGAATAGCCGATCGCAGCCGGGGGAGGTCTCAAAAAGCTCGCCTGAAGTCGGACAGCTCGGAGTCGGCTTCTTCATCTTCTTCTTCTTCTCTCGGTTTTTTGGGGGATTGCAAACAACTTTAAGGTGCATACCGCCACCTCCGGAGTTGGCTTGACTCGGTTTGCATTTATAAAGAATACACACATGTGTTTAATCGTTAATGTCAGATATATACTAAGTAAATACATTTGTTCCTGCTCAAGATTAGATTCAACTTTATTGTTATTGCACATATTACAGGTACTGAGACAACAAAATGCAGTTTAGCTTCTAACCAGGTGCAACAAGCAGTAAAGTGAAAAGTAATGTACACAATAGACAGAATAACATATAGAATTAATTGAATGATGAATAAACAGTGAGGGCTATGAATACACTAGATATACACAGCAGCCTGTGAGCAGTATGAACAGTGTATGAATATGCTAATATATATAAAGTATGAAAACGGTAAGCAGTGCAAGTATAGTATAGTATAAAAATATATAGGCTAGATATTAATTTCATGATGATAAACATTGTGGAACAATGATGAAAAAAGTGAATGGAAGTGGCAACGTAAAACTGACACAAAACAACAACAAACTTTTGCCGAGCCAATTGGAGAGTTTCATCAGCAGCACGTGGTAAAAACCACCAATGAGTGCTCAGCACTTAGTAACAATCGTTCGTCGCGCCGGAAACATCAACTTCGGCCATTTCCGGCGGTGACGTCATGAGTAGAACACAGCTGAGCTCCGTCCCGTTTGAATCCATTGAAGGGTCAAATATTATGACAAAGGATGCACAGCAATAAGACGCCAAGAATAATCGGCAAGCGATATGTTATATGGGGATGTGGGGCCGTTTCAACATCTGGTTATGGGATGTTTTTGTGGCCAAAAAATGATAAAATGTTGCGTATATGCAGTGGCGGCGCCAGAGATTTTCTCTAGGGGGTGCTGTGGGGTAGCTTGACGTTTCATAGAGGGTGCTCACACATTTAGGGTTTCCCATTAATGCACCAGCGTTACAGTTGAATTTTCTACTGCAACACTCCCCACGCGCGCACACACACAGTGCACCCGCGACTGTTACAATGAAGGCTCGATAATCAGCTCACGGCATATAGGCAGGGGTAAAGTGCTATTTTTACAAGTGGGGAGCGGACCTCACCTCCTCTAGGGGGGTCCGGGGGCTAGCTCCCCCGGGAAGATTTTTTGTTACATATTTAAGTTAAAAGCATCAATCTCGTGCACTTTGAGAGCAACATTAAGAGATCTATGGATACATCTCAACACCCATACGAAACAGAACTGTCAACAGATTTTCTATTTCTTTATAGATATTTTACAAATCACTCCCCTTTTAAAACAAACCGTTTGAGACCCACTGAGATAACTAGACTAAAGTTAACTATCTAAACACTGAGAGAGTCCTTTACTTCACCTGAGTTGAGGTTACCTGAGACTCTCCGTCTGACAGGAGAGAGTTCTCCCTCCACCTTGTTGTTGAAAAAGCTCCTTATATCCATTAGCTTGGCTAGCTAGCACCAGATGCTAACCACAACGATCTCCGGTAGATACCCACTGGTGCGCGAGGCGAGCTCTCTCGCTCGCTCGCGCACGCACGCACACAAAATGGCTCGTGCCACACACACACACACACACACACACACACACACACACACACACACACACACACACACACACACACACACACACACACACACACACACACACACACACACACACACAGAGCAGGGCTTGAATGAAACACAGAGACCCAGAAGTAAGCTACTTGTACTCACGAGGCCTATTATGTGCAGAATCCCTCTCGCTTTCAGTTGGTTTTGATTGAGTGTCCACACGTGGTCGTTTAAGGACTAAAAAACGATCAATTTTTCACTTTGCTGTTAGCAAATCATTTGGCGCTCTAGCTAACAAGAAGTCAATCAAGTGTCACAAAGTAATTTAGCCTATGGGTAGGTCGAAAATCGAATGGGTGCTGACCATTGGCCTAATCATATCACCTGTGTTGGCTTTATGTTTTTGGTCAAAAATGTGTTTGTTTCACATATGCATTGATGTAATCATTAATATTTCTAATTTAATTTAATAAAAATAATAATAATAATTTTCGAAAAAAAAAAAAAACACATATTTCTTGGGGGTGCTTAGGCGGTGCTTTGGCAATCCTGGGGGGTGCTTCAGCACCCCCTAGCTTCCCCCTGGCGCCGCCCCTGCGTATATAGGACAACTCAAGTGCGTCGTACAAGGCGGACTTTTGCTATGGAGGACGGAACATGACTTAAGTATAAATAAATAAATGTATGAAGAAATACAGGAATAAATAAATAAATACGTAAATAAATAAATAAATACAGGAATAAATAAATACAGGAATAAATAAATGACGAAATAAATACAGAAATAAATAAATGTTGAAATGAATACACAAATAAATAAATAAAAGAATAAATGCATAAATAAATGCATAAATAAATATGGAAATAAATACATCAATGTATAAATAAATAAATAAAAGTCGAAAATAAAACAGAACACACGTTATTATATATCTTTCATTTATTTCTACATTTACGCAACATACATTTATTTATTTATGTATTTATGTGTCCGTATGCTAATGAGGTGGGCGGTCCTAACCTCAGTCTGAAGCAGGATTGGTTACAGGAGTGTGTGATCATTTCTGGCAGAGGGCTCTACTACTAACGCCTGGATAACCGCGCTGATTCGAATGCAGGAGCTTTACTGTTTAGCCCTTATCTTTATACATCCATGGTTTATCCACAGTTGTAAGGTTTATTTATGGATATTGATTTAAGAGCCATTGGAGATCATTTACGATCATTAGCGGACCATTTAGAGAACGGAGAACCAAAAGACTATGTCCAGTTTCGTGTGGAACGATGTATAGAGGACTTGGCTCAGCTCGACATGATGTGACTTGCCACAAATCTATTGCTTCTGCCTGGCTCCAACAATTGGCGAATCCTGCTTCAGACTGAGGTTAGGACCGCCCACCTCATTAGCATACGGACACATAAATACATAAATAAATAAATGTATGTCGCGTAAATGTAGAAATAAATGAAAGATATATAATAATAACGTGTGTTCTGTTTTATTTTCGACATTTATTTATTTATACATTGATGTATTTATTTCCATATTTATTTATGCATTTATTTATTTATTTGTGTATTCATTTCAACATTTATTTATTTCTGTATTTATTTCGTCATTTATTTATTCCTGTATTTATTTATTTATTTACGTATTTATTTATTTATTCCTGTATTTATGTACGTAATTTATTTATTCCTGTATTTCTTCATACATTTATTTATTTATACTTAAGTCATGTTCCGTCCTCCATATTTTGCTGGACCAGGTAACCCAGGGTCGATGAAACCGACGATTTGTGGGCAGCACTTCGAGAGATCGTGTTTCGAACAATCAACAATGCTTGCTAAGGAGAGAGAGTAAAAGCTTTCTCGAAGGTTCGTTTTGCTTTCTTATCACGTTACGTTAATGTTAACTTAACCTTAAGTTTGCCATGAGGCTATGTTACTTCCCTTAAGAGCTAGCTGTCTTAGCTAACAACAGTTAGCAGCTAACGTTTTCTTCAGTTTGTGTTTCCACTGAAAAGCGTGATGTAGTTATTTAAGGATAAATTAACGTTATCTTAAAAGTAGAGAGAGTTAAGTTGTGCTTAAAATCGTCAATGTAATGCACGTTAAAGGTTTTTTTAAATCGTCAATGTAATGCACGTTAAAGGTTTTGTGTTGAACATGAAGTTAGCTTTACTGTAGCTCACCAAAGGTTAGCATGTTTTTGTACTTTATGTGGCAGCTCGCTTAATACAAAGAGGGGTTTTGTGCTTCATTGTTAACTTTTCCCACAAATGTGTGTTAATCTACCTGAAATTGTAGGGACAGTTTTTTTCTACTCAACTATACAGACCATTGTTGAGGAGATGCAAAACATACTGTAAATGAGTTGGGTCCGACATATACTTTGAGTGATGTTACTTTGCTGCTAGAAAATGAAACATTATCAGATGAGGACATCACCAAAGTGTGTGAGTCTGTCAGGGGATTTGATCTGTTCTCTGCATGTCGTACAGGTACACATACATGTACGTATGTATGTGTACACACTGCTCTGGTATGAATTAAAAATATAATTGTAAAATGTAAGTCTCTCGCTCTTGTCATCGTTCAGGCTTTGCATTTGAACTCCTATGACTGGTTGCGGACTTGAAGGGAACGACTTCCTGGCCTTCCTGACATCCAGGAAAAAGGTGAGATTCTAATCCATTTCAATGCCAAAAGCAAGTAATTGTTTGAGAGATGCAATGCAGCAAAAGGCCCAGCTGGATGGTTGCTGCTCCGTGTGGAACGTGTTCTATCAGGCCAGTGCATGACATTAAGGATTTTGGGAGATGGCCCTGTGGGCCATCTAAGCTAATTTACAGATGGCCCTGAGCCCAATAGAGAGGCGAAGTCCCTCCCCTTCCGAAAGCCTCCATGGGACCCCGGAAGCGGAAAATTATACATTGAAGTCAATGGAGAGAGAAAGGTTATCTTTTGATCCCGTTTGAATTGTGCCACGAATGACACATATGATGTTTGTCAATTTAAAAGAACATTTTGCAAGTCAAAAAAATAAAAATGTGTCGTAAAACTGTGAAGTTACAAATTTTTTCGTGTGAAACCGCTCAGTGGTCTCTCGTCTCGCACAATACGCGTCACCAACATAAAGATGGCCGTCACGTTAGCACATTTCACCACATTCTTTCAGAATGAGAATAAAAGTATTTTACGAGGTGAAAATCACTACAAGTCTGGGCACGTTGAGAGCTGTACCTATATGAAAGGGGAGTTAGTCGGTTCTGTAAGAGCCAGCATGCGGGACCGGCTTTACAAGGTTTCGGTGAGTAATATGAGTGCAATGTGTAACGTTAATGTCAGCTAGCTAACATTAGCTAACAAGGTACACTAACGTGTTTTGTTTTAGCAACTAGTTTTCTCCTTAAGAACTTCGTGGTCTCTGTGTATGCTGTGGATAACATTAGTGTTCACAAGAACAAGGTACACTCCCGTGTTTTGTTTTAGTTGCTCTTCAGATTGAAGCGGCCAGTTTTATATCGACTATACTGTATGTGTGATCTCCTTTTTCTCGTTGTGTCATTTGAGTTTATTTGCTGTGTGTCGATTCAAGGATTTTGGTTATCTAGGCACAGCTGTGTGTGACTCCCTCTGGTACACCGGTATGTGTTTTCCTAATGTAGAGAGCATTGATTAATTAATAAACTACACACTGAGTCTAGATCCTGACCAAATCCTTTTTTATTGTTGATCAAATGTTTTTCAAAAATGTATTCATACACATTTAGAAAAATACAATGTACAATCACAACCAATACAACACAAATTAGAAAAAATACAGAAAAAACAAACAATAACAACAGACAAGAGGACAAAACTATGGAAAAATAAACCCTCCCACCCCCAGATCCGGACCATCCTTGTATTATTGCTCATTCAATCTATTATAGCATGCTAACAAATGGTACTTACTTTATTTTTACAGATCTGCATGGGAGACGATGGCGCGATGCAGAGCGCTGTCTGTGATTGTGCACAGGAGATGTACAAATGCAGCCACGCTGCAGCATTGGCAATATTTGCCATGTGGCAGATCAGCTCCACAGATGTTGAGTGCCAGTGGAGGAAGCCTGGCACTTCCAAAGTAGTCCAGCCGGTGTCTCAACTTTACCAACAGCGAGAGGAGACATACAACCCACTGGCCAGAGACATCGCCAACTGTCAACTGGGGGGTTGTAAACCAGGCCGAAGGGGTGAAGGCTTTTGTGGAGGCCTATCAAGTGACAGTGTTCGAATCGAGTCTGGTCTCTTTGTGAGTGAGTCGGGTGTTCTGGGAGCATCACCCGATGGACTTGTGGAGCCATCTGCCCTGCTGGAGGTGAAGTGTCCACACAGCCAGAGGAACATGACCATCACGGAGGCAGTCCAGTTACCATCCTTTTGTCTCCGTGAGGAGGGTGGGTCATATATTCTCAAGGAGAATCACCCATACTGGCACCAGGTCCAAGGGCAGCTGCACATCACAGACCGGAGTCTCTGCTACTTTGTTGTGTGGACCACGAAGGAGGCGATCATCATCCCCATCCCCAAAGACCCTGCATGGCATGGAAATCTCCTCCTCCTGGAACAATTCTACACCCAGCATATGCTCCCTGTGTTGGCCAGTAGAGAGGAGGACATTTCAATAAACATACTCTTAACACCCTCGGACTCTGCGTTGTGTTTTGTATGTGTGATGGGGTGTTATGCAGAGGGGAGGAAAACAGGACACAGCAGATTGGGATTGTGGTGGAGATGCTGAGCAGTTATTTAATTGTTGCATGTAATTATTATTATACTGCGTGCTTCTTAGTTATTCCATCTTTTGCTGTAACATGGATCTGTATGTAACTCTATATTTACTTGTTATCTACCACACTTCCTTCTACATCATACACCATCATTATACATGATGGTGTATATAGGATATATATATTTGTATACATATCTGTAAATTGTATAATTGTATTTAAACGTCTTTTTGATCTCTCAAACTGAGTAAGATTGACAATAAAGTTGACTTTGAAAAATATATATATTCTTTATGAAAATAGTTGACTGTTGTCAAATGAATCCAAATGAAACGTTGGACTGAACTACAACTACGCCTTTAAATCTCTACGGACTGTTTTTCAGTGGGATGGCAAGTTCCTATCTTTAAACATTTATTAGTTTTTTCTCAGAACAGATTTGATTTTCTGAAGTTAATTTAACTTTGCCGACCATGTAAGGTCATTATTAAAAAGGTACAATCAATTTGTTTAGGGTTGACTAAAATAATGAAAAACATTCATTTGGATAATTTACTGACAGAATAAGAAACTCAATGATGCTCTACTCACCTGTTCCCTTTTTATAAAGTGAAACAGTTGAAACGATAGATTTTAGTAAACTTAAAAACAACCTTCTCCAAAAGCTATCAAGGAATATACCGAATACTTGTTTTAGAACTTTATTACATATTTTTATATAAATAGTTTGAATGATCCATAATTGACAGAAGCTTGTGTTTACACTGACCTGTTACTCATATATTAATGTCTTTGTAACTTCAGTAAACCACTACCTCACTAATTTCTTTCATTCATCACGGTTCAGTAAACTAAGTGATACATGAACCAGTTTAATCATTATAATAACGTAGGATTGCAACTCTTTGAAAATGTATGTGGCTCTTAAAAGAGCTGTTGTGTTTGGGTGTGCTGGTCTCAGGTCAGTCTAAGCCCTCTCTCCGCGGATGTGGCGGGCCAGCTGGATGTCCTTGGGCATGATGGGGACCCTCTTTGCTTGGTTCATCTTACTGGGGGGGGCAGCTACATGGATGTCGGTGCAGTCCACAATCATTGCGCAGTTGAAGGCAGAATGAATTTATTATTGACTCCGAATGAAGCACAACTTCATGTCATACAATGCAATGACTTTATTTGTAATTGTGTAAAAAAATATGAGCATTGATTAGCAAGCAGGACCTGCAGGAACAGAGAATGGTGATGGATGGAGCTGGGAAGAGAGAAGAATAAAGAAAACAGATCAACTTTATTATCGGATATTAAAAATTCAATTTCAAAACAAGTTGCCGCTCCTACAGTTTTCTAGTATGTAAAGATGATTTCACATGACCTATGCAAAATATCACACTCAATACATGTGTGTCTCTGGGGGGTGCATTGTGCCTTTGATGTATATAAATAATATACCATAACCAAATACTATTACGTACAGTGGAAATCAGGTTGCCAGAGCAGGTCAGTGTGCATGTTCCTCAACGTCTCAGCAGTTACAGGTGAGGTAAAGAAAATAAAAGAGAAAAAGGTCAGTAACAACACTTTAAAGTAACAACACTTTGAATAATTATCTCTTCTAACAATTTTCTCTCAATAAGCACACAACGACTGTCTTTCCAACAAACAGATTGTCATCACAATGAAACACGTCCAGAAGAATGTCATGCAAAGCTCCATGCCTGCCTTCGACTCTCCCTGAACTGCTTCCTTAGCACCCGGTGGAGGGCGCAGTAGGCTACTCTTCAAAAGTTTCACGAAATACTTACCATCATGTTTGGTTACTGTTTAACATTTTGGTTTACTTCATGTAATAAAATAATAACTTCATGGTAAGGCTACTAAAAATGACAAGGCTAAGTAATGTAATGCTAACTAACGTGCTCGCTACTCGTCGCTACTAGCTAGGTAGCTAACTTGACTATGTTCCATGCACAACATGTATATTACCTATGATATTACCTGATATGTTTGATCCAGCGACTCCTGGTCCTTTCATCAGACGGGAATCGATAGAAGGAGCAAGTGGTATGATCACTTTTATGACTACAACCTGGTACAAAGCACACAGGCATCTTGTAAAAGTGAATTTATTTTTAGCGATCTATAATTTATTGGAGGGAATAAATTAGTTATGAGATTTTCTTCTTCTTCGCTTTAATTACGAGTCTTATTATAAATCACCGAGCATGCCTGTGACATCACTTACGCGACCCAGAATGGGATTTGGGATTTGTAGTCTTTGTAGTAGCGTATTTTTCATAGTCTTATATTTCAGCAGTTTTACGACAAAATGTGACTTTTTTTACATGGAAATGATTGTTTAAGATTGACAAACATCATATGTGTAGTTCGTGGCACAATTCAAACGGGATCAAAAGATACGTGTTCTCTCTCCATTGAATTCAATGTAAATTTTTCGCTTCCGGGGTCCCATGGTCCGGAAGTAGATGGGCGTGACTTCGCCTCTCCATAGAGATTGCCCTGAAAAATGCGCGCGGACGAAATGGCACGAAGGGTTTGGGGGGCCTCCGTCCCCCTAGAAAATTTAGATTTTTGCAGGTCTTAGATGCTGTCTGGTGCATTCTCTAGACTGAATTATAAGATGAACCACCACAATATTGTATTCAGTGCATGACATTAAGGATTTTGGGAGATGGCCCTGTGGGCCATCTAAGCTAATTTACAGATGGCCCTGAGCCCAATAGAGATTGCCCTGAAAAATGCGCGCGGACAAAATGACGCACGAAGGGTTTGGGGGGCCTCCCCCTAGAAAATGTAGATTTTTGCAGGTCTTAGATGCTGTCTGGTGCATTCTCTAGACTGAATTATAAGATGAACCACCACAATATTATATTGTACAATTTCAATTTTATTTTTAATTTCACTTGTTTGTTTGTTCTTGTTTGTGTTTGCTCGCTTGCATGCCCTGCATAGCTTTAAGAAATACTTAAGTTGTTTGGTCAAGACACTTTCCATCTGATGAAGGCAAATGCCTTCCCAGATGTAAAAAAAGTAGAAAACATTACATTCAGTTATAACTGCCAAAACAAACATTATTTACACTATTATGGCCCCTGTTAAAAATGTTTGTAATGTTATCTAAATTGGTCGAACGAATGCCTCCTCATCCGGAAGCTGACCGAGCAGACCCGAGCAGCAGTCGAGAGGAGCCGAGCGCATCCGCGAAGCACACAAAATGGCGACGTCAGAGTTCCCGTTAGCCGGCAAATCTAAATATCTTCGGTCAAAATAATTTCCCTTTAGCGCAATACCGCTTCAGTTGCGCCACTTATGTGACAGACAAGAAGAGTATGTGACAGACAAGAATAGTCAATTCTAATGTCTAACACTTAATGTGGAGAAAGTGATGTCCTGTATGGGTTGATTGTGCGTTGATCTGTTGGTAATGCCTCGGGGTTCCGGTGGGCATGTAAACAAATGCATAATGCTGCGCTATACTTTGTGGCCTCATCCGGTTGCATAGCGACACTTATTGTTTAGGTGTCTTTTAATAAGCAGGTAGTCATATCATTAGCTAGAACTAGCTGGATCTGATCGATATGGACATAAACGCGAGTGAAGTCTAATCTGACGGGAGAGAGAGATCAGCTGCTGCTGACGAGTCGACACGCAGCTCTGCATGATCACATGCAGCGGTGAGCGGACAAAACACACACTTTAGGTTAGAATATCACACGTAGCTATTTTAATTACCTCTCAAACTACCGTAACTAGTTATAGATATGTTTAGTTTTACTGTCGGGTCTCTCATTACTGGATCCGCGAGCTGCATGATACTGGCACAATAGATTGCCCGATCGGGCAACCAGCAGGTGAGGCTTCATTGCCCGAGCTAAATACTAGATGGCCCCGGGCCATCGGGCAGTCCTTAATGTCGAGCCCTGCAGGCAAAGCACTTTGGTACCCAGTTATTTATGGTATTGAGTTTGAATTTAGCCTTTGGAAGGTAATTTCCAACAGTGCATTGTAATGACTGAAAAAACATTTCTTTGTCTCTTAACATTCCTATAATAATTTGTTTTTTTATTGTTGATATTGTTTTGTTCTTTATTCTTGTTGTGAGAATCACTTTGCAATTGTGTGAGTGCTATATAAATAGTTACACTAATATTATTGTTGTTACCATCATTACTATTATTAAAAACGTTGTCTTTGTTTTCTTTATTTATTGCTGCAGAAAGGATCATGCCAGCTCACATCAAACACCTGATCAAGAACTTGTGAATCTTCAGGCAGAAAAGACGAAAACACCTGTTCAAAGTTCCAGTTCCCTGTACATCGAACCATGCCTGTCCTCTGTTCCACATGTCTTCAGTCAGTTCTGGATCCCATGACTCGGACACTAGTTCTACCAAGGCTCATTAGAGGTAAGCAGTGGAGAGGAGAGGAGTGGAGCTATCTTTGTATTTGGGTTGCAAGTCGACAAAGGTGATCAAGTGCTGATACTTATAATGATCCGATTCATTTGATATTGATTGTCTGCCAATACCGAATCCTGATCCGATTCTTATATTTCCCAGATAATACAGCTGCACCGTGTACACTCGCTCTATTTGTTTTTGGGACCAAGCAGTAAGACAACAGGACACAGGAGTGGGTTTAATAAACTAGGGTTTTTATTTACCCAAAAATCCACAAAACATCATATAATAGCAAGGCCTATAAAAGAGGTCAACAGAAAATACCTCAAAGAAACATAACAGGTGTTAACTCAACAAAACTGACCTGCTACAATGAAAAACCAAGGAACCTATATAGTGGCTTGGCCAAACCAAATTGAACCCAAGGGATAATTAATAGTCACATCATACACAAAGGATACTGACAAAACCCAAATCCCCCCTTTGACATGGAAGCAGGTGGTTTGTCCCAATTGGCTCCTTGCAGTATTTATGAGTCCTCAGCGCTCGGCCTCACCCTTTGCTGAACCAGGAAGTAACCTCCCCCAATGGACATGGTAACATTTAGAGCAAATGTGTGGTGTTAATTGGCATGTTTTATTGTAGCTGCACTGGAGCAAAACTACTAAAGATGAGGATGCAGTGTAGTTGGTTTACCCTGTGAGGCTGTGGCCATCACACACTGCCTGCCATGCCCAGAAAAGATCGGAGCTGCTTCCTTGTTTGTGGCACAGGACATGACTCGATGGCCTGAATCTTGCTGACCCGTGGCCGTATCACACCGCATCCAATGATGTGGCCCAGGCACTCCGTCTCTGCAGCGGCAAAGACGCACTTCGATGGATTGATAGTCAGCCCTGCAGAGTAGAGGCGATCCAAGACAGTGTGCAGATGTTCCATGTGCTCCTCCCAGGTGGAGCTGTAAATGACAATGTCATCCAGATATGCTGCAGCAAAACCAGATAAATCACAAAGTACCTGATCCATAAGCCTCTGGAAAGTCGCTTGAGCACCATGCAGCCCAAATGGCATGACCGTGAACTGGAAAAGACCCAATGGTGTCCTCATTTCATTTAATTTCAAACCTTTATTTAACCAGATTGGTCCCATTGAGATCATAGATCTCTTTTTCAAGGGAGACCTGCAGCATATAGGTTCCACATGAAACATAAAACAATAAAGGACATTATACATTATATTTACAGGATATATTTACATAGTTATAGACATTTACAAGTGGCCATAGTATCAACGAGCATTTCATTTAGCCTAGCTTTAAAAACATGCAGAGGAATGAGATTGCTCAGTTTCAATTCTTGCGGAAGACTGTTCCAAGCAAATGGAGCTGCGCACATAAAAGCTGTCTTACCTAAGACAGTCCTTGCTCTTGGCACATCTAACAATACTACATAATGCGATCTCAGACAATAGCTGCTTGCAACTCTCTGTGTTATCAGAGAGCAGATATAATACGGGAGTTTACCCAACAAAGCTTTATAAATAAACGTGTACCAATGACTGAGCCTCTTTACAGTAAGTGATGGCAGACCTGCCTTGGCATACAGGGTACAGTGATGAGTAAGTGCTTTACAATTTGTGACAAATCTCAGTGCGCTGTGATAGGCGGCATCTAACTTGTTCAGGCAATAGGCAGGTGCATTCATATACAACAAATCACCATAGTCCAGCACAGGTAAAAAGGTCACAGTGACTAGCCTTTTCCTGGCTTCAAAAGAGAAACGGGACTTGTTTCTGAAAAAGAAACCTAGTCTAACCCTCAGCTTTTTAAGCAGGTTATTGACATGAAGTTTAAAAGTAAGACAATCATCAAGCCAGATACCTAGGTATTTATAACTGGTAACCACTTCAAGTACTTGTCCTTGCATAGTAACAATATCCAAAACAGGCTCTGGTGTCTTTTTAGCTTTTGAAAATAGCATTACCTTGGTTTTATCAACATTTAAAATAAGCTTAAGTTCAGCAAGCTGAGTCTGAATAATGTTAAAAACAGCCTGTAATTTAACACCAGCCTCCTTAATGGAGGGACCTGCACAATACATCACGGTATCATCCGCATAAAAATGTAAAGTAGCTTCATCCACATTTTCACCTAAACTGTTGATATATATGGAGAATAAAAGTGGACCTAAAACAGAACCTTGAGGAACACCATTAGCAATGTTTAACCACTCAGAAGACAGCCCATCAAAGTGAACACATTGGGACCTTTCAGAGAGGTAGTTCACAAACCACCCCACTGCATGGCTGGATATGCCGATACTGAGTAGCCTCTGCTTTAAGATGCGATGATCGACGGTATCAAACGCTTTGGAAAGGTCAATAAATAGAGCTGCACAACTCTGCTTATTGTCTAAAATACTCGTAATGTCATTCACCACTTTCATTGTGGCAGTGAAGGTGCTATGTTGTTTTCTGAAGCCTGACTGATGTTTAGACAGGATATCATTTTTACATAAAAACTCCTTTACCTGTTCACTCACTAGGCGTTCGAGCACCTTCGCCAGAACTGACAATTTAGAGATTGGCCTATAGTTATTTAAAATAGTTGCCTCCCCTCCTTTTAGTAAAGGCAAGACATAAGCTGACTTCCATACTTTTGGAATTGCATTTGTGCTGAGGGAGAGGTTAAAAAGAGTAGTAAGAGGAAGAGCAATAAAATCTGCAGCTATCTTTAAAAAGAAAGGTTCTACGTTGTCCGGGCCAGCCGGTTTCTTAGGATCTAGCTTAGATAAGGCTTCATGAACAACATTGACAGTAAAAGGAGTAAAACTGAAAGGGTTTTCCGGACCACATTGTTCAGAGTCACGGATTGGGGTGTTCACAGAAGCAGAGTTAGTCACAGAATCAAACATAGAACCGCAGGACACAAAATGCTCATTAAAGCAATTTAACATAGTGGCCCTGTCCGATATAGTGCCAGATGCTGTGGTAAGGCACGGAGGTAGCTCATTACGGATCTCACCGGTGGATATCGATTTTATTGCTTTCCAAAATTTCCTAGGATTATTTAGGTTTTCTGTGGTAACTGACAATAGTACTTCGACTTTGCACTTTTGACATTTGAAGTGAAGCTATTCCTTAGCTGCCTAAAACGCAGCCACTCTACCTCTGAGCCTGATTGCCTAGCCTTTGCCCAGGCCTTGTTTCTCTCATGAAGGAGACTAGACAGCTCAGCAGAAAACCAAGGATTGTCTCGTCCCTTTACTCTAAATTTTCGCAGGGGTGCATGTCTATCAATGATCTCCATAAAACCAAGATAAAAATAAGACCATGCGGTTTCCACATCAGCACACAGATCGATTTTACCCCAATCAAAATCAAACAGATCATGCACAAAACCCTGCTCAACAAAATGTTTTTTGTCTCTCTTAATGATAATGCAAGGTTTAACCTTTTGGACCTTAGTGTCCCTAATTGTGGCTACAACACAGTGATCGCTCAGATCATTTGCAAATACTCCCACAGATGAATATTTATGGGGAATATTAGTTAAAATGAGATCAATTAGGGAGGATTTATTAGGGGACTTAATATTTGGGCGAGTAGGACTGTCAACAATCTGAGTAACATTCAAAGAGATACAAAGGTTTTTAAAATCCTCTGACACTGCAGTTAACCAGTCCCAGTTAAAATCTCCAAGTAGCACTATTTCCTTATAGTCTAGTTGTGATAAAAGATTTGCTAGTGAAGACAAGGAGTCTTTGACAGCTGAGGGGGGTCTGTAACAACTCACTACCATGACCTGTTGACCCTTTGCCACTTCTATATTTATGGCTAAAAATTCAAATTGCTTACTGATCGATTTGGAAACTAATGTGGTTACACTGAACTTATTCTTAACATAAATGGCAACGCCACCACCTTTATTAGGCCGGTCGGTACGATACACATTAAAACCATTTAAGGCCATGTCAGAGGCCAAAATAGATTTGTTTAGCCATGTTTCTCATAAGACAATGACGTCAGCGTCAGTCGATTTTGCCCAGATACGGACAAAATCTAGTTTACCTAACAGACTGCGCACATTCAAGTGGATGAAACCCAACCCAGACCTAGCTTTAAAATCAGCAGGAGTAGCGATCTGACTACTACTACTGGGCGGACCAGGGTTAGGTTGTACATTTCCTGACAGTAATAACAACAACAAAAACCAGACATCTTTTCCTCTTAAACGACACAAATACATTGTCATCTACTTTAGAAACACCGGAAAAGCCTGCGAGAGTGTGATTAGAGCTTAAGAAGCAGTCCTGAAGAACCATCATCGCAGGAAAATAAAAAAGACAAACATATTTTGTCGAGCAGATTGACTGTGACAAGGCAACCGGTAATTGTTTGAGCAACACATCCGAACCTTTGCAGGGGATGCCCACTGCGGGTGGCAGAACAGAACCTGAATCCAGTAGTCTTCTCAGAATGACTAGAGATCTTCTCATAGTCCAAAACAGTTAACAGGCACAGCAGAATCCCGATATGGGCCATTTTCCCAGACCAGCAACAATTATCCGCGATTTCCTGGAGAAAAAATCAGCACAGCAGCAAAGGACAGGCGAAAACAGCAGCGTGGAAGCGCTCCGGTCCCTCCGTGGTATCCCCGGGTGTGAAAACAGGCCTCTGCAACAGCAGAACCAGGACAGGTGGAAAGCAGGCCCCAGCGGTGGTAAAATCCTCCTCCGCACAGCAGCACACGCCCCGGTGGAAGCAGGCTAAGCCCGAAGCTGGGATCCACTCCGTCTCTCCGCGACGACTCCGGGGTAAAAACCTCTCCAGTACAGCCGTATTCTACAGGTGGGAGCAGGCCTCCGTAAATCGCAGATCGCATGCAGCAACAGGTGGAGCCGCTCCGTCTCTTCGCGACGTCTCCGGAGGAAAAACACCTCAGTACAGCCGCACTCGACAGGTGGGAGTAGGCCTCCACAGTTTGCAGACAACTAAAACTACTACTTGTATAAGCAGGGATGGCTAACAGTTTGTAAGCAGGAGAGCTAGATGCTGCTAGATGCTAACAGATGCCAGATGCTAACAGGTAAGTGCGAGCCTGTAGAAATTGCGACTGCCTGTAGAAATTGCGACTGCCTCCAATGACAGCGTAGATGTGAGTGACAGTGTGGGGAGTGTAGCAGTCCTAAAGGCTGTCAGCTCCCTGGACCGCTCACCCTTGGAAAGATCTAATGTGGTTAAGTATTTGGCTTTTCCAAGCCGTTCAAGCAGTTCATCGATTCTTGGTGTTGGATAAGAATCAAACAGAGAAATTCAGTTCAGGTACCTAAAATCAATACAAAACCTAAGACTACCATCCTTCCCACCACTCGCTTTTCGAAATCTCAATGATCCCCAGGGACAGCATCAGATCGACCTCCTTTTTCAGTGACGCCAGCAGGCGTTCCGGAATCCTGTAACTCAGCCGTCTAACAGAAGCACCTTCTCTAACCACAATGTCATGCTCAACATTATCTGTTCTCCCAGGATTCTCCTGAAATAATTCTGACCTACAGATTGTTCTCATCTGAAGCTGTTTGTCTTCTGAGAGGTGGCTGAGGTCATGGCTCACCGTAGCCCCCCCTGGAGATAGGTATTGCTCCTCCACTTCCTGTTCCTCTTGCACATCCCTGATGAGCATCACTTTTGCTTCTTGTTCAGGTCGCGGCACCCACTCTTTCAAGAGATTTATATGTAGTACTCTACTGGAGCGTGGCTTCCCAGGGGTCGATACCTCATATGTTGTGGGCCCGAGTTGCTTCTTGATCTCAAATGGTCCCTGCCACTTTGCCAACAGCTTGCTGTTATCACTTGGGCGGAGAACTAGTACCTTTTGTCCTGGGTTGAAGGATCTTTGCTGAGCTGACCGATCATACCAGGACTTCTGCTGTTGCTGGGCCACTGCCATGTGAGATTGGGCAAGCAGACTCATTTTCTCCAATCGATCTCTCATCTGAACAACATAGGATACAATGTTAACAGAACCATCCCTCGCCTTGTTTCCCTCCCAAATCTCCCTCAACAGTGAGAGAGGTCCTCGTATTTCATGTCCATACAAAAGTTCAAATGGAGAGAAACCAGTGGAGGCTTGGGGTACTTCTCTATAAGCAAAGAGGAGGTATGGCAGCCACTGGTCCCAGTCTGTGCCACTGTTGTTGACAAACTTCCGTAGCATCTGCTTCAGGGTTTGGTTGAAACGCTCCGTCAATCCATCAGTTTGGGGATGATATGGTGTGGTCCTCAGGCTCCGAATACCCAGCAAGTGATACACCTGTTTCAGCAGAGTGGACATGAAGTTAGTTCCCTGATCAGTTAATATTTCATGAGGGAAACCTACTCTTGAAAATAACTGAACCAAACAGAAAGCAACTGATTTTGCTTTTATGGATTTTAATGGAAAAACTTCTGGGTACTTTGTGGCGTAATCTATTATGACCAGCATGTACCGGTTTCCCTCCTTGCTCCTCTCAACAGGACCAACAATGTCCATCCCAAGGCGCTCAAATGGGGTGCCAATGATGGGTAAAGGCTGGAGGGGAGCTCTGGAGGGGGTTCTAGCAGATGTTATTTGGCACTGAGGACAACTTCTGCAGAATTGAGTGACCTCTCTTCGCAGGCCAGGCCAGTGAAAATACCGTTGGATGCGAGCTATGGTTTTATGCTTACCCAGGTGGCCAGCCCAGGGGATAGAGTGCCCCAAAGAGAGAATGTTGTATCTAACTGCTTGGGGAACCACTAGCTGCAACACCGACCCCTGCTGACGGTAGAGAATGCCATTTTGCAGAACATACTCGTCTTCGTTGAAGTCCAGCTCAGCCCCTGGCTCTTTTTCCTTCGCCGTCTGAAAAAGAGAAACTAGGGATAGATCAGCTTTCTGCATTTCCATGATATTGGCTGGCCTTTGAAACTGTAAGGCTACATCTGGCTCAGTGCTGGATGGTGGGTTCACCACTGTGTGTTGGAACTTTTCCTGCCTCCTCTGTCTGCAAGTTTTCCGAGGTCTCCCAGATGTTGTGTCAAGCTCCTGATTGAAAAAAGGTAAAGCACTAAGAGTCTCAGAGTGCTCATTTAGTGATTTTGCCTGTGCTCTAGTAACTACAACATTACATTTTTGGCTTTGCTTCCCCTCCAACAAATCAAAAAGCACTGGAAGATCTCGCCCCAGCACCGCTGGATAAGGCAAGTTATCAACAACTCCAATGTTCAAGAGGTAAGTTTGACCCTCTACTTTTATGTACATGTCAGCTGTTGAATAGCTTTTCTCATCTCCATGCACACAACAGATTGGGATCGTGTCTCTTGTGCTAATAATGTTGGGTGGTACAAACTTCCGGTGTACAAGAGTCTGACTACTCCCAGAATCCAGCATGGCCTTGATAATCTGTCCATTAACTTCTATGAGTGTCATCTTAATAGACTGGTCATCCTTACGCACATGCTCAATATGAGGGCGGGGCACAAAGCACATTTGTGTCATTTTGGTTGCATTTTGGGGGCACATAGGTTTTATATGGCCTTCTATTCCACAGAGATAACAAATTGGCTTTTTACCAAGAGGTTTAAATGGGCCGCTAGCTGACTGCTTTTCCCACATGGGAGGCTTACCCACACCGGAGGGTGCCTCCTGATCGTACTGTCGAGCTGGTTTGTGTCGATCCTTTGAACTCCATGAGTTATAGCTCCATTGTTGTCCTTTATTACGGGCAGCAACAAAGACATCAGCCAGTCCAGCAGCCTCCATCGCCGATCCTGGGTCACGCTCTCGGATCCAGACTTGAAGCTCAGGGGACAACTTTCTCAAATATTGCTCTAGTATGATTATTTCATCAATTTCATGTATGGATTTACCTTTTGGTTGGATCCATTTCCCATAAAGTTCCTTGAGTCTTACATACAACTCCTTGGGCTCTCGTCAGGGTTAAACTCCAAGGAACGAAATCTTTGCCTGTAGGTCTCAGGGTTATCATACTTAGAAAGAAAAGCAGATTTTACTTGGTCATAGTCAAGGGAATCATCAATGTCCATATGCACATAAGCACCTCTAGCTTTGCCAGTAAGCAATGGTAACAAGTGAAAAACCCAATCTGCTTTCTGCCACCGGCATGCTATAGCAATCCGTTCAAATGTAATCAGAAAGTGTTCAATGTCATTATTGTCCGTTAATCTTTCCATTCTGGGCTCATGGTGTGTGCGAGACTGACCTGCAAGGTTTGGATGGGCAGCCATGGTAAAAAGCTCAGCTTGCACCTGAGGATGGTTGCTGGTGGATGGTAAGACTTCCACCTCTGATGGATCAGGGTCTGCGGACAGAGAATCTGGTACTGGAGATGTTCTGGCCTGAACTTCTAACTGCAAAAGCTGAAACTGCTGTTGCATTGTTTCAAACCGCTGTTCCTGTCTTGTAGTTATCTCGCTCTGCTTTGCCGCTTGAGCCTCCATCTGCCCCATATGAGCCTGAAGCAGGGCCACCAGGTCCGACATGGATGGCTCCTTACCTTCACCCTCAGTGCTTTCTACCACTCCAGAGGCCCCATTGTCCTCCTCTTCACTGCTGGCTTGCTTCTCCTGGATATTTGAAAGGCTTGTCGGTCCTCCCGGTTTCCTTGTAATTCTCCCTCCACGCTGCATCTTTTTTTTTTTTTTTTTAAAGAAAAGAAAGTGAAAAAAACACCTGTGTCCTCCACTGAATGATCCCACCACTGCCACCAATTGTCAGGGACCAAACAGTAAGACAACAGGACACAGGAGTGGGTTAAATAAACTAGGGTTTTTATTTACCCAAAAATCCACAAAACATCATATAATAGCAATGCCTATAAAAGAGGTCAACAGAAAATACCTCAAAGCAACATAACAGGTGTTAACTCAACAAAACTGACCTGCTACAATGAAAAACCAAGGAACCTATATAGTGGCTTGGCCGAACCAAGTTGAACCCAAGGGATAATTAATAGTCACATCATACACAAAGGACACTGACAAACCCAAATCCCCCCTTTGACATGGAAGCAGGTGGTTTTGTCCCAATTGGCTCCTTGCAGTATTTATGAGTCCTCAGCGCTCGGCCACACCCTTTGCTGAACCAGGAAGTAACCTCCCCCCAATGGACATGGTAACATTTAGAGCAAATGTGTGGTGTTAATTGGCATGTTTTATTGTAGCTGCACTGGAGCAAAACTACTGAAGATGAGGATGCAGTGTAGTTGGTTTACCCTGTGAGGCTGTGGCCATCACAGCCATTGTAATTCACCATAAGCAATTGTTGACTGTAACGTCTATGCCAACCAACTGTCATTTGTAATGTATTATACTTTAACGATCAAGTTCTGGCAACCACAGCAGCCCAAATGTTAACGTAAATGTCAAGTTTTCTTTTTACAGTGTACTTATATCTGTACATTTATTTTCAGTTTGCTTGAAGAAGTGGCTTCAACAGACAGAAATGCAGGCCAGATTGGGAAAGGCTGGACGACACAGCGGGAAACATTATGGACATGAACAAGGAAAAACAAAAACACTTTCTTTGTTGCCTTTTTCTTATTATATATAGTGTTACGGTTTTGTTACCATTTAAATATTGAATTCTATTTATTACTTTTATTTTAAATCAAATGCCACCGGTTTTAGATAATATATTATTTTGATGTATAGGTTGATTTGCAGGTTGGTTGTTATTTGTATTATTATTGTATTGTTACTGTGTATTTTATTATATTAACTAGCTATTTATTAGATTGAAATACTGTTATGAACACTATACAATGTCTTTATTTTGGTAGATACCAGAATACATGACACAATGAATCTTTGTAATATATTTATGTTCTCTTGTTTAAATAATCATACCAGTATTTAATGTGTGCTGGTCACCTGGAATCCTGGTAAGCTCCCAGCAGGGTATATTTAATACTATTATTAAACATAAGCTGGTGATAGATGGATAAACCAGCCATCCTGGCCAGCTGAAGTGTCCCAAACCCCCTTCCAGCCAACCATTCCAGCCTAATATCTACTGGCTGGTCAATTTACAACAGCCTGACCAGCTACATTTATCTAAGCTGGTTTTTTCAGCAGAGTTATTATTATTTATTTACTATTTATTGAGAATCTATGAATTATAGTCAAATGTACCAGTCTCTGTTCTGTTGCCTGAGCCAAGTGTGCCTGCTACATTACGAGGTATAATTATTGATTTACTATTTATTGAGAATATCTATGAATTAAAGTCAAATGTATATATACCAGTCTGTGTTCTGTTGCTGCACCGGATCTCCGCCAAATCCAGGATCATCATCCCCATGTTCGCTCCCGTCTGTACCTCTACCGCTACTTGAATACTGTGGCTCAAACTGGTATGGTTCCACCACGTTAGACCCGCCCGCATGATCTGATTCCACCACACCGGCATCCTCTTCAATAAAATCCTCCTCTTCTTGAAAGTGCACCAAGTCTATTGACGACTCACTGTCACTCGATTCTGTCTCCAGAGTCCGACATCAGCCATATAGGTAGTGTATTATTCAACAAGTGTTCTACTCGTGATGTAGACTACCGTGACGTGCGTGACGCCACTAACCGGCGAAAGCTGTTTTGTTCTGAGCGGTCGTGTAACATCGGAAGCGAGCATGGAAAGTTGTAATAAATCACGATTTATAAATACAGCGGGCATATTGTCATGAATGACATGATTTCCCATTAATAATAGTATATATTATCGTAATAAGAACAGTATTGTCATTTTTCATTTCGTAAGCTCTTTAATATGGAGGACGGAACATGACATAAGTATAAATAAATAAATGTATGAAGAGATACAGGAATAAATAAATGAGGAAATAAATACAGAAATAAATAAATGAGGAAATAAATACACAAATAAATAAATAAAAGAATAAATGCATAAATAAATATGGAATAAATACTTGAATGTATAAATAAATAAATAAAAGTCAAGAATAAAACAGAACACACGTTATTATATATCTTTAATATATTTCTACATTTACGGTCACTTACATTTATTTATGTATTTCTGTGTCCGTATGCTAATGAGGTGGGCGGTCCTAACCTCAGTCTGAAGCATGATTGGTTACAGGAGTGTGATCATTTCTAACAGATTGGGTTTAGCAGAAGTGGCATGATTTTGTTCTCAGGAGGAGAATTTGAGAGAGTATTACACAGTAAAAGCAGTGGCGGCTCCAGAGTATTTTTGTTGGGTAATCTATGGTAGGGCTAACCCATACAGTGGTGGGGCTCAAGTCAGTATTTGCATTACATACACGCTATATCGCACCATGGGCGTAGGAAGCATCCTGAATGTGGGGGGGGACATTTTTAACGGGGGGTGTGGGGGTCGCCCCCCACGGGAAAAAAAATAGATTTCCTGTATTCTGGTGCATTTTAACAGGTGGTTTGATACTTTTATGTGGCTATACTAGCATGAGGAAAATGATGGGTACATTTTGTAATTTCATCCAGTAGTAAAGAAAGGAAACATATTTGATTATTAATTCAGAGCAGTCTTTGAATGAATAAAAAGCAGTTTAAATGTATACAATGTATACAATGTATATTGTACATTTATATACAACAATAACTATTTGTGAGTGCATTGAGAGATATTGTTGTGGAGTCATTTATATATAAATCGCAAAATACATTTGTGAATCCTTCTGTGTGCATTTATTAATATTGAGACTGATCTGACTCCATACAGATGTTAAGTTCACATAGGAATGGTATCATTGACTTAAATGTTCAAATAAATGTTGCTCTTCTGTCTATATTGGTCATATGATGCCCCTTGACTGAAATGCTTCCTGTTCAATATCCCCACTGATTTCCTTAACACTCTGGGATGAGAGTCCACATCACAATTTACTCTAAACTGTCATTTCCCTTTCATCACTCACCTCAGCAATGAACCTCTCTCCGCTGTCCCTGTGTTCTGCCTCTGACTCACTCTCAAGCACCTAGATGTCAAGAGAGGTGGTGAAGTGATAATTATTTATTGAGCAGTATACTCTTTCACATTGAATCATAACAAGTCATACTGAATGTAAATACAACTGTATGGAGTCAGATTTGGGTCAATATTCTAGCGCGCAAAACAAGCTACTCACGAGCGGAAAATGTGCTTTTACACACGCATGAAATGACCCTCGCGCGCAGATTAAACCCCCGCGAGCGGCTATGCGCTCGCTCGCGAGAGAGACAGCCCTCTTTTTCCCTCGCGGGAGTGTCAGCATCACTCGCTCGCGGAGTCTGTCTACGCCCGCGTGAAAAGTTTCTGGCACTTTGGGGCGGAGTCACTGGACTTTGATTGACAGCTGCCAGGAGAGGCCGGAGTTGCCAGGTTTGATAAATTCCTGAACTGCCAAGAGCCGAGGAGTGACAGCTGCAAGATCAGTTGGACGAGATTGAATGGTAAATGTGTCCATAAAAAACTATTATATTCGTAAAGTGTACAGCTAATATATATATCAATTAATTTGATATAAAAAAATGACACATTAATTCTAGGAGTGCAATACTTTTACAAACACTATAGTAATAATATGCATTCATTATGACAATATCATACTGAGTGTTCTATAGTGTGTTAAAAAAACAACTACAGAAACACTATATATTATACTATAGTTATACTATTTAAAATAATATAGGAATACTACAAAGATCTAGATACATAGTATTACTATTGAAATATTATAGGGCTACTATGGCACTACAGAAAAAACTATAATAATACAATAGCTGGTGAAAAATACTACAGAACACTACAAACTTACTATAGGACACTATACAACTCTAATAGTAGCCTATACTATAGTTCATTTATAGTTCATTTCGTAAGGGAGGTGCATACAGCAGACAGTAGCTAGCAGTTTTCGACAGATACAGCCCACTCAAAAATATATTGTTTTATATCAAATTAATTAATATATATATATATATATATTAGCTGTACACTTTACGAATGTAATCGTTTTTTATGGACAACTTTACCATTCAATCTCGTCCAACTGATCTTGCAGCTGTCATTACTCGGCTCTTGATAGTTCAGGCATTTATCAAACCTGGCAACTTCGGGCTTCCTTGCAGCTGTCAATCAAAGTCCAGTGGGTCCGCCCCAAAGTGCCAGAAACTTTTCATGCGCGCGTAGACAGACTCCTCGAGCAAGTGAGGCTGGCACTCCCGCGAGCGAGCAAGAGGGCTGTCTCTCTCACGAGCGAGCGCATAGCCGCTCGCGGGGGTTTAATCTGCGCGCGAGGGTCATTTCATGCGCGTGTAAAAGCACATTTTCCGCTCGTGAGTAGCTTGTTTTGCGCGCTAGAATATTGACCCAAAACTGACTCCATACAACTGACTCTAAAGTAAGTCCCAGTCTGGTGACATTGGACATTTTGAAGACTCAAAGTCCCAAGCAGTAGGTAGAATATTAGCTAGTCTGTGTAATGTGCACAGAAAATAAATAGTTAATTGAATACTGGGATGGAAATTGCCTATACGCACTGAGTAAAACATAAACACACACAAACAGCTTCTGAATGATAAGAAGTATAATTAAAACATAATGCACATTACCATTTTGAGAGAGAGTACCGAAGTTAAAGAACTCCGAAAATAATCTCTCATCGAACTGAGGCTCCAGTAAAACACACTGACTGCGTCTACATGGACATCAGTAAGCCGTTTATGAGTATTATCCCGGTAATGATCATATTGGGGATATGGTGTTTACATGAGCACATAGAGATCGGGTTATTCATGTTCCCTGTTTACATGATAAATACTAGTAACCTGGCATTTCGATGCCTTTTCTCATCTAAACTATTCAGTATTTGTATCTCTCTATCATGACATAAAGACGAAACTCCTCACCAAGAGGTGAGACGCCGCCGCCATCACTGTTAACTGATTAACTGCTACCAGCTGATGACTTACTTTCCTCTTCTTGAATTTTTTTTTCTTATGTCCATATTGTCTGGGGGAGAAAACATATCAAACCAAGAGATCGTCAGCTTTGATTTTCGCTGTATTAACCATTTCCTGAACATTTGGTGTGTGTGCCTTACTGTACCTCCGCTACCGGCATCGCTTCATACAACAGATCTGAGCTGTCCAACTATGACAACACTCCTTGAACATGCGCGCGCTATGTGAGAATCTGCCTTGGTACAAAGTAGCAGTGAAAACATGGTACGGAGTTTCATTGATTTGGGCATTCTCTCAATAAGCAAGTGGAATGGATTTGATAGTGAAGCACTGACACAGCGCTCTACAAAGTGCGGCGAGTGGAGAGACCGATTCACGGACTTTCCACATGGTAAAAGTGGGGGGGGTCTAAACTAATCATTTGAAAAAGTGGGGGGGACTTGTCCCACCCTCATATAATGGCTGCGTATGCGGCCATGTATCGCACCCCTTGACAGTGAAACGCCAAGCGTGAGGCTTTTATTAGCTTTTATTAGTCTCATTTTATCAGCTAAATTACATCGAGAGCAACAGGTGTGGGTTAAACAATACAATAGCCTAT